ATGTAGGTAATATATTGTACTCGTATATAGTAACTTGGGGAAAAAATGATATAGAATGATAAATTATAATTATAGTATATTAATTTAGATGTGTATGATATTAAGGCAGGCGTGGACTGGTGAAAAAGGGCATGGGATGCTACATAATTCAAAGGGCAAATAACAAAAATGTGTGGAGCAAATTTAAAATATGTAGATTATGTATAAAATATTGAAAATAAGAAAAACTCGTTAATAGGTACCAAGTTATAACTAATATTCAAACAAAATTGTCCGTTCTAACTCGCTAATTTTTCTTTTGGCGGTTTCTTACTGWGTGGTCTTTTGGATTATTTGATATTTTAGTACTTTTTAATTTGATATACATGTCTGTCTGAACTTCTGTTATTAAAACATTTAGCCATTTTATAATTGGAGGACTTTCTTTATAAAAGCTTTGATTGAACCTCGAATGAAATAAATCGCATGCGTTGGTCGTCCGTTGTAGGCTGCATGACATTGCCGCCCAAAGTGTTGGTGGATACATACTATTTATATCAATATAACAGGTAATCTGAATATTTTTCAAAACGTTCATCAGTAGGACGATCGGACATAAAATTTTCAACAAAGCATTCAGTAACTTCGGCTGGCTCCAAAAAAGGTTAACCAAAAGTATAACGTATCCAAATGTCAATTTCAGACGATTGATTTTGGTATTCGGTCGACAACCCGAGCTTTTGCAGTTGTCGATATCAAGCCTACGTCAAATGAAATCGACATCCAATTATTTTTGTTTTTGGCCAAATTGCACTCACTGCAGAATTATTATTTAGAATAGAATTTATTATAGAATATTATTACTAGCTGTCTCACCCGACATATGTCCCGTGTACATTTTCAAATTTACAACTAATCATAATCTATCTGTTTGTTAATAATTGTTTGCAAACAAAGTTTGATTAAATTGTTTGTATTATTTTGTATATTAAATTATTACTTACAATTTACAACAGCTTTTAATATAATCGTATTAACTTGTCTTGATGGAAACTTGGTAAATATCTCATTTAGTGGAAACGAGTACCACCCGGCCAATGCTCATATATACGTATCTATATACCAACCAAGGCACTGACCTACGCCGGGAGTTTCCCGAGTGCGTCCCGAAATGACCCTTTTTTAATGTACCTAGTGCGTCCAGAATAAAGTATCATTCGAGTGCGTCCCAAGAAAAAAGTCATATTATTTACATTAGGTAGCCCGAATGCGTCCCCAGTTCATTTAGAAATACCCAGGGTGCACCACGAGGAGGTGAACTGGCTTGCACCCCAAAATATTATTTTTATTATTATTATTAATTTATTTTAGCTTAAGATGTTAAGTTTAAGTGAGCGTACAATTTTTAAAAATTTTTTTTTATTATTATATATTTATATGGGTTGGTGTTTAAATGCCATTTTTTTGACAAAATCGAATATTGATATTTTATTATTTTTAAATTGTTTTATATTGTCTTCGATGTAAGTAATTTTCTTGCACGTACTTCCTTTTCACAAATCTCATCTTGTGCTTTTCTTTTTAATGAATTACGAATAACTTATTAACTTGTCTAACCATAATGTCTTGTACGCCTTTTTCATGGTTATGAATTTATGATCTAATATAGATATTCTCTATAACAGTATCTCCACTTTCATCGGTCTTAAAATATGCTTTACACTTTTTGTTTGTACAATTCCATCGTCTTACATCATTATTTAATATTTTATGAAACCTTAATTGAGTTAATTTATACCCTTCAATAATTTTTATTGAATGTTTATGCCTGTACCTACCTTATCTGACAAGGATCGGAGACAAAGAGTAAATGTGTTTAATTTGTTTTACAATATAATTATTATACAATTGAAATTATAATATAATTTTAAATGTACCTACAGCTATATACGAGTATATAGATTATTCATTCGTTATAATTATTACCTATATCTTAAATTACTATCGATTTCGTAATTAAATAGGAAATATTTGTACCTATGTATATTTAGTGTTTACACATATCGACATTTTATATTTTTATCGATACACTCATTCTCACCGAGGTCATTAATTATTTGACTGATTGATTTTTTACATGCTTTTTTTATTTCATTGCAGGTAGTAGACGAATAAGTATCGCATTAACCTTTTATTAGAACCTTTACACGATTTTCAAATTATTAATTAGGTATTGATTTTACCGTGCAATTTTATCCGCCCATCGATGGTCTGTGGAATTCAGCTATGGGTACGGCCAAAATATCAAATATTAAAATATTCCAATCATTCCAGTAAATTTGACTTCAACTCATTACAAATGCCCCTCTGGTACGTCAGCAATCTCTCCCATCACTCGGATTTCAAAATCCTGACCATTTTATATCAGTGGTACGTGATACAGCACTCGAGCCCG